AGAGTTGCTCATAATATGTTCTTATAATTATTTTTATTTCTTTGGTGTTGGTTGTGATCTCTCCTCTTTCATTCGTGATTTTATTAATTTGGGTCCTTTCTCTTTTCTTTTTGATAAGTCTGGCCAGGGGTTTATCAGTCCTATTAATTATTTCAAAGAACCAGCTCCTAGTTTCATTGATTTGTTCTACTGGTTTTTTTTGTTTCTAATTCATTGATTTCTGCTCTGGTCTTTATTATTTCTCTTCTCCTGTTGGGTTTAGGCTTTCTTTGCTGTTCTTTCTCCAGCTCCTTTAGGTGTAGGGTTAGGTTGTGTACCTGAGACCTTTCTTGTTTCTGAGAAAGTCTTGTATTGCTATATTCTGTCCTCTCAGGACTGCCTTTGCTGTGTCCCACAGATTTTGAACCGTTGTGTTTTCATTATCATTTGTTTCCATGAATTTTTTCAATTCTTTAATTTCCTTGTTGACCCATTCATTCTTTAGTAGGATGCTCTTTGGCCTCCATGTATTTGGGTTTTTTCCAACTTTCCTCTTGTGATTGAGTTCTACCTTTAGAGCATTGTGGTCTAAAATATGCAGGGAATGATCCCAATCTTTTGGTACCAGTTGAGACCTGATTTGTGACCCAGGTTGTGATTTATTCTGGAGAATGTTCCAAGTGCACTGGAGAAGAATGTTTATTCTGTTATTTTGGGATGGAATGTTTTGAATATATCTGTGAGGGCCATCTGGTCTAGTGTGTCATTTAAAGCCTTTATTTCCTTGCTGATCTTTTGTTTACATGATCTGTCCATTTCAGTAAGAGGGGTGTTAAGTCTCCTACTGTTATTATATTATTGTCGATATGTTTCTTTGATTTTGTTATTAACTGGTTTATATAATTGACTGCTCCCCTGTAGGGGCATAGATACTTAAAATTGTTAGACCTTTTTGTTGGGCATACTCTTTAAGTATGGTATAGTGTCCTTCCTCATCTCTTATTATAGTCTTCTGTTTAAAATCTAATTTGTCTGATATAAGGATTGCCACCCCAGCTTTCTTTTGATGTCCATTAGCAAGGTAAATGGTATTCCACCCTCTCACTTTGAATTTGGAGGTGTCTTTGGATCTAAAATGAGTCTCTTGCAGACAGCATATTGATGTGTCTTGTTTTTTTATCCATTCTTATACCCTGTGTCTTTTGATTGGGGCAATTAGCCCATTTACACTTAGGGTAACTATTGAAAGCTATGAATTTAGTGCCATTGTAAAGCCTGTAAGGTGACTGTTACTGTATATTGTCTCTGTTCCTTTCTGGTCTGTTACTTTTAGGCTCTCTCTTTGCTTAGTGGACCCCTTTCAATATTTCCTGGAGGGCTGTTTTGGTGTTTGTAAAATCTTTTAATTTTTGTTTTTCGTGGAAGCTTTTTATCTCTCCTTCTATTTTCAATGACAGCCTATCTGAATATAGTATTCTTGGCTGTATATTTTTCCCGTTTAGTGCTCTGAATATATCATGCCAGTCCTTTTTGGCCTGTTAGGTCTCTGTGGATAGGTTTGCTACCAATCTAATATTTTTACCATTGTATGTTACAGACTTCTTTTCCCAAGCTACTTTTGGGATTTTCTCTTTGTAACTGAGACTTGTAAATTTTACTATTAGATGATGGGGTGTGGACTTATTTTTATTGATTTTTAAGGGGGATTCTCTTTGCTTCCTGGATTTTGCTGCTTGTTCCATTCACCAAATTAGTGAAATTCTCTACTATAATTTGCTCCAATATAACTTCTGTCCCCCTCTCTCTTTCTTCTTCTGGGATCCCAATTATTGTAATATTAATTCATCTTATGGTATCACTTATCTCTCAAATTCTCCTTTTGTGGTCCAGTAGTTGTTTGTCTCTCTTTTGCTCAGCTCCTTTTAATCTCCATCATTTGGTCTTTTATATTACTAATTGACTCTTCTGCCTCATTTATCCTAGCAGTTAGAGCCTCCATTTTTGGTTGCACCTTATTAATAGCTTTTTTTATTTCAACTTGGTTAGACTTTAGTTCTTTTATTTTCTAGAAAGGGCTTTTATTTCTCCAGAAAGCGATTCTCTAATATCTTAAATGCTTTTTTCAAGCCCAGCTAGCACCTTGATAATTGTCATTCTGCACTCTAGTTCTGACACATTACTAATGTCCGTTATGATTAGGTCCTTAGCTGTCAGTACTACCTCTTGTTCTTTTTTTGTGGTGAGTTTTTCTGGCTTGTCATTTTATTCAGGTAAGAATAGATGAATGAGAGAACAAAATACTAAAGGGGTAGCAATGACTCCATAAAAATATATACTCGCCAAATCAGAAGAGACCCTAAACTGGGGGGAGAAAATGGGGGGGGGGGGGATCTATATCTATATCTATCTATCTATCTATATATATATATTAGACTGGTGAATAGAACAGAGCTGCACACTTGATTTTGGGTGTATTTTGGTCTGTTAGAAGAAACTACCTCCCAAAATTTTAAAGAAAGAAAAACTTATATATATACAAAAATAAGGGTAAACACAATGAAGGGTGGAATATGACTGTAAAGATGAAAATTTAAAAAGATTCTAAAAAAGGAGTTGATATGAAGTTGGATGAAATAAGAAAAAAAAAAGAGAGGAAAGAATGTGATCAGGCTGGAGACTATAAGAAAACCATCCGCTATATTTAGGGTGTATTTTGATCTATTAGAAGAAATTGTATCCCATAATTTTAAAGAAAAAAAACCTATATCTATAAAAGAAATAAGGTTAAATACAGTGAAGGGATAAAATATGAGCATAACAATGAAAAGTAAAGATTTTTAAAAAGGTATTAATAAGATAAAATAGTTAAAAACCGTTAAAATTGGAAAGAGGTAAAGTTAAAAAAGTAGAATAAGAAAAAAATAAATTTAAAAAAATTTAACTTTGAAGGACTAAAGGATCATGGGAAAAAAGCCATGAATTCTATGTGTTGCTTTCCCCTAGCTCTAGAGTTCTGCAGTTCTCATTTATCAGTGAACTTGGTCTCGGCTGGATGTTCTTGCTGATCTTCTGTGGGAGGGGTCTGTGGCAGTGATTCTGAAATGTCTTTGCCCAAGGCAGAATTGCACCGCCCTTGCCAGGGGCCAGGCTAAATAATCTGCTTGTGTTCACTCTTGGAGCTTTTGTTCTCTGAATGCTTTCCATACAGTTTTGGAGGTGGAGAATGAAAATGGCGGCCTCCCAATCTCCGGCCACATAGGAGCCGAGAGTTTGGGACCCCGCTCCTCAGTGCCCCCGCAGAGAAAAGCAGTCAATCCCTCCTATCTCCCTGGTCTTTGGTCGCACTCTGTGTTCACTAGGCCTGTGACCGAGCATTTCTATCTCTGGTGCACGGCCCCGTTTGGAGTCTCCAAACCCAGCAGATTCCTGGTGTGCACTCCCACACTGCTGTAGGAGGAAGGAGGTGGTCTCCCTGGATCTGCTGCTTGTAGGGTCCCTGCCTGAAGAGCAGTGGCCCAGGTGTGCCTTGGATCACAGTTTAAGGTAACCCTGAGCTGGGAGCCCACTGCTCCGCTCCATCTCTGCAGCTGACTTCCCTACTCTGATACCTGGGAGATCTGCTGCACTCAGACACCCCTGGTCTTTTTGTGTCCTTGCAGGTCCTGAGACCACACTGTCCCTGCAAGGGCTCCACTTCCCGCTTAGCCTTTGGAGCAGCGTCCCTCAGTGGAGCAGACTTCTTAAAGTTACGATTTTTTGTTCCACTCCACTGCTCTCTCACTTGCCAGGAGCCAGCTCCTCCCTCCACGGTCTATCTTCTTGTGGCTTCAGATTCACTTCTCTGCACATCCTACCTTCCGCAACGTGGTTGATTTTCTGTTCCTAGAATTGTTGCCCTTCTTCTTTTCTATCTCCTGTTGAGTTTGTAGGTGTTCAGAATGGTTTGATAACTAGCTGAACTCCTGGGACCTGATGATATCTCGGTCTTCTACTTCTCCACCATCTTGGTCCTTCCAAATTATCACCATAGTTTGCTTAGTTAGCATTTCTGTGTGTTTAAATTGGAAAGGCATACAGGTTGGTCTCTATGTTTTCAGGCCATAAGTCTCATGTTTTACAAAAATGCAGTATTATACTATTTTATGTAGTTTTCCCCAAATCATGTTTATCCCAGGTTATTTTTCTCCCAGCACCATTGAAATCCATATAACAGGGGGAAGGGGAAATTTCTAATTTCTCATGGAGAGGTTTTATCTCGTGCACTAATATTCTAGGATTTATATCACAGCCCAGAAGTCTAGTCTTGGTCTTTAGTGGCCAGGCATCAGCAGTAATGGTTTCTTTGGTAAGGACTGAAGTGGGTACTTAGAACATGGAAGGAAAAGAAAAAGAACCATGGGAAAACCATGGATTAGTTGGCCATTCCCAGCTACTGCACTATTATGAGATGTTAGGATCTAGACAAGAGTGACAGAAAGAGGAATATCCCAAGTAGTTTTGACCTTATGGTGTCACCATATGAGTAATGATGTACTGATGTTATATCAGCCCCTTGAAATATTAGCGTGACATAAATACTATTTCCTTGGAAGGACCGTGTGCCTTGTAGAAATGGAATGGGTTCCCCCATGTAAAACTTTTTCAGAGAAATGGAAATAGAGTGTGCGGAAAGAAGTAAGAACATAAAATGCTCGGTCAGAGCGAGTGTGCTGTGCAGCGTTTACCAGAATTGTGTCTCTGTGCTTTATTGGCCATTCCTATGCTGTTGAGGCGCTCATACCCCAAAAGATTTCGCTGTCCATCTGACCGGGGTGTCTGACTGAATTCTGGCCTGACGTGTGTGCTGTCTTCACTTGATGACAGTCTTTTTTTGGCCTTTTGTGAGGGATGTATGAGGCCCCGGTTACTTGGCCAGTGCCACAGACAATGGCATATGGAAATTCTCCTTAGAGACATGGAGAAGAAACGTTTGGTGTTTTACTCACAGATAACGCCCTACTTTTGCTTTTATCTCTTTGCAGCTTTGAAGCTCAGAGAAGAAGGAAAATCCATTGAGAACAGTCTGTAAAGGTAAGTGTATTTATTACATGGCCTTGACAAACATTGCCTTTACAATATTGATTTTTCTTTTATTCAGAGATTTAAACACTTGGATTAAAGATACAGCTGACAGGACAACTTCCTTAACCACCTGCTTGTCCCCCCTCTTAGGCAAAAGTGCTGAGCAATAGTTAGCAGAGAGCAGGAGGAAATAAAATGATATGCTGAGGGTAGCCAAATGCAATTGTATGCTTGCTGACTTTTGCTTTCTTCTCAGCAGTTAAGACATTCCAATGGAGCTCAGTTTACTAAGATTAATGTTAGCTGGAAAAAGAATGCACTCGTACCACTTCTAGTCGATGGTTAAATAAAACCAGCTGGCCAAATAAAGCATTTAAACTAAAATGCAGAGTGGCATTTGAATTGGGTTGGATGAAATTTATCATGGAAGTCAGTTGTGCAGTTGCGTGGAGAAGCTAGTTTTGTCGAAAGGAGAAAGCCAGCCAGTTTGGTGTAGCTAATTTCATTCTGCCCAGTCTCCATGGACCCTAAGTGAGTTACAGGAAATGAACTTCCAAGTTCGAAGCAATGGGAAAAGTACCCATCGGCTTTCTGTGAAACATTACAATTGTGTTGGTTTTTACATGGAAAAATGTAATTGTTTCCTCTTTGCTAGGTATATTTATCAGCATACCGCTGTACAGCATTGTTCTTTGATTCATTGTTTAATTTCTGTTCTGCATGAAGTATTTTAATTTAAAGAATTCATTCTGGGGAATTACAGGGCTGCAGTTTCATCAAGAGTCTTTGGTGGCCAGGGTGAAATATGCCATAATTTAACATTTGTTTTCATCATCAATTATGTTTTTGACAATTTTAGGTTTTTTTTCCTGTCGTTTTTATTACAGCAATCATGACCGTGACCACTTAAGTTAAAGTCGAAAGCCATTTTGATTTACCTTATATTTTAAGTTATTCCTAACTTCATGACAAATCTACTTCTGGGGCTGAATTTTTAATGTTTGTTTTGAGGGGGAAAAGATTTTTGCAGGGAAATTGGAGAAAACCTCTTTTGAATGATCAAAACTTGAGCTATAAAAGCACTATTTGGAGGTTCTGCTTTGGAATGACTAAACTCTGGTGCATGAAGGCTGGTTGGCATGGAATTTTTCTGTAATGGTTTTCAGGCATATAACTTACACACCTCTGGACCACTGAGCCACATCTTGGAGTAAAGTGGTACTTGATGGCATCTTAGAAATAAATTCTCACAAATTATTGGGGCTAGTGATGATGTGGCAAGCTTCAGAATCTTGCGGTCTTTAGGTACCATTATGATGCTCCCATTTCTCATTGGAGAATGTTTTCACGCAGCACAGACCCTTTGCTCTGCTCTCAATGAAGATCCTTTGTTAAATTGGTATTTTGGAGTCAGACATGGATTCAGTCCTGGGTTGACTTTAATAACTGTTGGACCATGGGCAACTTATTTACCCCCCATGTCTCAGTTTCCCAGTTTGTGAAATGGAGGTAATAATATTGTTTTCCTCATAAGGCTGTTGTGAAGGTTAAATGAATTATTAGGTATTAAAGGCTTGGAACAGGTCCTGGCCCATGCCAAATGCTCAGTATGTGTTAGTTGCTGCTGCTCTTGTTGATATTACTGTCATCATCGTTATCATCAAGTCAGCATCCTTCTGAATTGACTCATTAGACATTTTGAGAAGCCTGTGCTCTTTGGAAGCTTCAGGGTAATGTTTCCAAAATGAGCATGTCAGTACTGAAGAAGGAGAAATTCTGCTTTGTCTTTAGGAATCAGAGGAAAAGATAGCTTTCAGATAAAGTGAGAAGCGAGGCCCCTGGAAGTAAGAAGTTGTCAAGGTGAAGTTTTGTAGGCATTAGGGTAAACGCTTTCTTCGGCTGTGTGTAGACAATTATTAATAGAGTCTTCAGAAATTAATGATCTAACTGCTAGTTAGTTAGGTTCTTAAGGAATCTTTGAAGAAAGTCTTGGCAAGTGTAGAAGGACTTGTCCCCCTTTCCCTTTCCTTCCCTGTCTTGTATCTGTTTTCCCTTCCTAACAGCACTTTGATTTCCTTTTCGGGTGGTTAGATGAGTGGAGCTGTAACCAGAGGCCATACCCAGGGGCCTATACTCGGCCTAGGTGTGGGTGCATAGTCAGTAGCTTGATTAAGTGGGTGTTCATGTGCAGTTTCAGTTTTGAGCTAGAGGATTCTCCTTGCTGCCAGTGGGCATTCTGCTCTGAGCATACCTACTGTGGGACTACCTTAGCAGTTCCCATTCTTTAGTCTCCATGTCTGTCTTGGCAAATGATGGTTGCTAAGCCTTATTTTCCAGTGGAAAATTAGGCTTATTTTCCATGATTCCCCGAGCCCCTCGTCTTCTTCCAATAATCCTCCTCAAATTAGCCAACTGGCTTCAGTCTTGGAACCACAGAAGCTGAAGTAATAGTTGACACATTAGGGAGCTAGATAATAAACGGGCTATGTTTGGAGGTTTACAATTAAAATATCATTCATTACTTCCTTCCATCATGTGTAAGTACCTGAACGTTTTGCAGTGGGTTATAAAAGGTGCAGAGTTCTCAATTAGTGTTTTAAAAGTGGGCCATTTTGCTGGACTTCCCATGACTCCTGTGTTTGGTAGAGAGAAGTCACTTCTGGCTACTAATCTAAGTTCTCAAAGGGTGTGTGTGTGTGTGTGTGTGTGTGTGTGTGTGTGTGTGTGTGTGTGTCGGGGGAAAGCTGGAAATGGCAAGAGAAGCAGAGATATCTTCGCTCCAGTTTTTGGGGCCCTGGGCTGGGGGTTGTGAAGGGACTGTGATTTCCTTCCCCCTACTCCAGCCTCCCCAAACAAAACTCAATACGTATTTTTCTGCTTTTCCCTGAATCTTTATTCTTCTTTTGAACACTTGCCTTGCCCTACTGAACACCTTCTTTTCAACGATGTGTGTGTGATTGAAAACTCAATTATTTCGGTCTCTGGCATTCCTTGTGGTTTCTCGAGAATGGAATGGGCAAGTGCACTCTGTTTCCCCTTGTGTCTTGTTTGTTGACTACTTCTGTGTTCTGTGCAGTGCCTAGAACAAAGTTGGTTAATGATTTTTTCACAGGAACATTAATTTTGCACTCCTACTGTGAATAAGTAGCATGAGTGCCTTGTATGGTGGAAACTTACCTGACATGTCAGGAAACATGCTTTCTAGTTTGGGCGCTGCTGTTGGTAGCTTTATGATCCTGGGCAAAATACCCAACTTTTCTTAAGGTCTCAGCTGTAAAATCGGGATAACCTTTGCCCAGTCTTCTGCATCGAGGTGTTCTGAGGTTGACATAAACGTAATCTGTGTGAGAATGCTTAGCCAGTTGTCAGGCGCTGGCGTAACATCAGTGAATGATGGTGATGCTGGTGACGATGATGCCATTTATGTTAAACAGATTGAAAAACCAAGGGATTTTTTTATTTTTTTTTAATATAAGGCCGAGTAGAAAAGGGACATACATTTAAAAAACAAAAATAAAAATAAAACTCTACCTGGTGCTTGTGCTGGACATTCCGTTTGTGCCTCCGGCTCCTTGCTCCTCTGAGGCCCGGGAGGCTACCCTCTCTTGTCAGCATTCCCTGGTTCACCTTGCTCTCCAGCACTGGGTGAAAAGCCGAGAATGTGAGTTTGGAAAATTATTCCCTACCTTCCTGCAGCACTGTGGTTGGCAGTGGCTGTATCCCTCTAAGGAGGGCCGCGGGTGCCGGGGACATAGGAAATGGTAAACTTTCAGCGCCTGGACATTTTGGTGGTACAGTTGGAAGGATTCTATCAATCAGCTTTTTATAAAGCAAGTTTTGGAGAATTGAAAAACCTTATGGTAACCCTAGTATATATATATAAAGACATCCAATATTATACATGTAATGAATTATCTTTTAAAATTCACCTTTATTTTTATCAAAGCAACCTATCTACCTTGTTTGAATAGAACAGCACTAAAAAGCAAATACTGAAAAACTGCAACACCTACCCCCACCTCCTGCATTTCTCCTACCAGCCCACACCCCACAATTGGCAACTTTCAACTCTGATACTTCCGGTGTTTATCTGTTGCCAAAAATGTGCTTATGCTGGTTTTTTCCCCCCTGCTGTATTGATTTTAATAATAGTTCTTTGACAGTCCCCACTCTTATTGCTTCTGGTCCCCACAGCCCCCTAACATAATTATATCACAATTTTTGCTTAAATCAAAATTTAACACTTAAATTATCATGTTGGTCTGATTGGTAATGTGTTCTTTAATGAGGAACTCTTGGTCTTCCTTGGAATTAACATATTCTTTCAAAATTTGCTTTTTTTCCTAGGCATCTACCTTATGAGGTGTAGGCGGTAATAGCATTTCCATTTTATAGATGTGTAAATTGAGGCTTGAGGCTGAAGTATTTTGCCCAGAGTCACACAGCTAGTAAACACCAGCCAGTCTCTCTACAAAGTCTGCATTCTTAATCATGATGTTGTTTGCAAACACTGTCACTTCAGCTGTTATTCTAATGGCTCTGTTAAAGCAAAGCAACACTTTAGGTCTATCTTTCAGGTTCAGAATCAGTAGATCTGAGATGGGGACCAATGTAGAAAGCTCCACAGGTGATTCCATTGATCGGCAGGGTCTGAGACCTTCTGTTCTATATCCTGTCATTACCTGTAATCACCATCCTCACCGTCATCGTCATCAACAGCACCACCACCACCTCCGTCAGCAGCAACGGAGGACAGTCTTGTGCTCTATCACTAAGTAGAAATCCTAGTGTCTATTAAAGCAGTTGCTTTTTGACCTCCTGGTGAGATCGCACTGGTGGGTGATTCAGGTAATAATTTATCTGGCCATTTTTCCTCTGTGGGTGCACAGAGGAACTGTGCCCTGTAGACCTGGACAAGGGTATTTTTTCACCTCAGTTGGTTGTTACTTTATCTGTTAAAAAAAAAAAAAAAAAAAAAAAAAGGCAATAAGAACATTGTCTCTGTACTT